AGAGAGAGAGAGAGAGAGAGAGAGAGAGAGAGTTCAGGTGTATAAAAGAGTCCTTGAATATCACTTAATTATGTTAGTAGTACTCGGTATATACAAGATCTTACAATGATTACATACAAATAGCATTTTCAATGTACAATATAATTTACAATACGTATTTTCATTTAATCAATTAGATACTAGCATAATTAGAAAATTTAGAAAAATTAATGCAATTTTTATAAAGTTTAAAATAATTTAATGTATATATTTTGAGATATAAATTACACAGTTAATTTAACATGAATGTTTATTTATTAAAAATTACATAAAATGAAAATATATTTATCCTAAAATCAAATGTAAAATTAATTACATAATAATTAATAAAATGACATAAAATTAAAATATTATTTAAGATAAATAATAAATTAACAATAATTATTCTAAAAAACATTGTCATTATTTAAAAAAAACTTATAAAATTAACAATTATAAAATAATTAGTCTATTTTTAACTTTGATGATAATCGGGGTACAATCAATTGGAGACACACACAAAACAGGCAAAATAATTCGACCATAATAAATGCAGTATTCCATGAATATGTGTTGGCAATTAGGCTTAGCGGGAGTCCAGTGAATATACCGCCCACTTATATATTGAAAGGATAATACCATAATATATAAATCATTATATAATAATATAATAATTAATAAATAAAATAACATGTGAATTAAATTATCAATTCACACAAATGGTGCTTTACTGTATTAATTAATCTATCTATCTACAATTGAAATTTTGCATACCTTTGGCCGAAAGGTTGACTAATGAGGCGCACAGTCCGGCCCTCTTGGGACTAATCTCGGTGGCGATGACCGACAAATTGACGACATTGCCCGACGCGTTAATACCCAACAACAGTGCGGTCACAGCGAGCACCGGGAGACTCGTGTTATGTTTAATATGAAAACAATACAAATGCAACGCCAGTGCACTGAACGATAACATAGCGATCGACACCGGAAGTCGGGCCTCCAGTTTCAATTGGCCATCACTCTCAGCGCCGGGACCTCCAGCCGCTATAGCTCTTCGCAGTAATATATCACTTATACGGCCGGCGATTAATTTACCAAATATTCCTCCAATCTCCACCAAGCTGATAAATGTGCTGCTTAGGTACACGTCCAGGTGCTGCTCATTAACCAGGTATATCTGTGACCAGTCGCCCACACCCTGTCGGGTGACGGCAACCGAGAATCGGCTAATAATGCACATCAGGACCAGTGGGTGTTGTATAATATCTAACCATCGCCCGTCATCATGTTTATTTTTATTGTTTTTAGCACTGGTATCGGACTTTTCACCATGTTCATCGCTATCACCGGGTGAATCTAACAGTATAAAACAGGTGCTGGCTACCAACAAGGTCAACACACCGCTAATATACACAGATGTGCGCCAGTAGTACGTCTGGGACAGGTATGCCGTGATGAACGGGTTGGACACGCCGGCGAAATTGACCGAGATCAACACCACTGACCAATTGGTGGCGAACCGTGTGGGCGTACTGTTCTCCCTGGTCAGTTTTAGTAGCGATGGCAATGAAAAGCCCTGACCCAACCCGTTAATGAACCAATAAAGCGAGTACTGGCCCACCGAAGTGCCTGTTGGGAACAGTAGGGTTGACATCGCGCACACCAATAGACCGAAACAGACCATATGTTTGGCCGGAAAGCGATCGCTAAGAATGCCGGCACCAAATGTGACTAATGCCATGGCAACGCTCTGCGAACTAATTATTGTGCCTAAGTAATTTAATTGTATTGGTTGAATATGAAAAAACAATAAAATTACTGGCAATATTTTAAAATTAATTTATAATTACCAGCATCTTGCTGAGTGAGACCCTCTTGGATGAGTTGTGGAAACACCAGGGTTACACTTTTCCGATTATAATAGTATGTGAAATACGCGATAAAAGCCAACCACAGGGCCTTTAATTCACTGTTTTTGCCCATCATTTTTGACAACAAGTTGTTATACTTTTTTGATATAACTTTTTTTTTATCGGTGTTTCGCTAACAAAACGATTTTAAAAATGAATGTAATTTTTGTGTGCAAAATATATCTCACATTTTTCTTATTGTTTGTGGAAGTGATGAGTGACTTAATCTTGTTTCATTATAGCGACAGTATATTAATACATGTGCAAAAAGTATAATATA